CCGGTCGGGTCGGCCGTGGGAACTCCCTTATAACTTAGGTGGGTCAGTTTCTCCCCCCTGGTTGCCCCATCACGCTGCGGACACACGTTCACGCCGCCGAGAAGGGGAGAAAGCGAAACCACCACTGGGGTCATTGGCACAGGTCCCCGGGCAGGGGCTGGGACCACCTGTTGGGAGAGGAAGGCAAGGAAGCCGTGTAGGAGCCCCTCCGGGTAGAGGGCGGTTGGCTAAGGGGCGGGAGGAAGGTTCGGATCGCGCACCGGGAGCCATTCTACGGCGGCAGCGAGCCTCCCCTCATTCCTCCACCTGTCGGGCCGCGGCTTCAGGAAGCCAGGCAACTCCAGCTCTACCCCCGCCCCCAGCCGGTCACCTCGCTCGGGCAAAAGTCCACCGTCTCAGCCGCTCCTACCGCTTCCGCCAGCGCCCGACCTGCCAAGGCCAGGCAGGAGGGGCGAGGAAGAGAAACTTTACTCCAGTCGCCCCTTTCACAAGCCGCGGGCACCCGGGGCTCTAATAACCCAGAGACGACCCTCACTCCCGCGCCTCCTTCCCCCGGGGAAGCAGCGAGGATGGGGTAGCGGGGTCGGGGCAGGTGAGCCACACGCCCCGGCTCACCGGTGACGCTCTCTCCCCCTTTCCGTCCCCCCCGCGCGTGCCCTCTCGCTCGGGTTACCTGCGCAAACTCACCCGCCGAGAGGTGGAGTCCGTGGGGATCGGGGTGGGGGCCGCCGCACCCGGAGACTTCTAGGGCGAGTTTGCAGGTGTGGGCTCCCCGGTCCCTCCTCTCCGGGCGCGGGCGGCGGCGAAGCTGGGCAGCGGGCAGCGACGCATGTCTCGCCCCCTCGGCTACTTGGCGCCTCGGGACTGGAAGGCGGGGGGCGATGCCCGTCCGCCCCGCACCTCTGGCCTCCTGCGGGGGTGGCCGTTCCCCCTCCGCCGGCTCTCGGGGGAGGTGTGGCGCGAGAAGGAGGAGAAAGAAGCCGCTCGGCTCCCCCGCCCGGCGGTGGCGGCTCCCGCTCGGGCCCGGCGAGCAACAAGCGCCGGAGCGGGAGGGACGGGATTGTAGATCCGGCTCCGGCTCCGGGCTCCCCGGGCGGGAGCGCAGCCCCTGGCATTTAAAGAGACAGGCGCTCGCTCCCGGAACCCGGGCTTTCCCACCCGGTGCAGAGCCTCCGGGATCCCCCGCCCCGTCCGGCCCACGGAGGCCGCGGGCTCCGCCCCAGGCCACGCCCCGCGCCGGGGGCCGGTTTAAGTCCCGCTGGTAACTCCCCGACGCGCCGTGTGTGGCGGGGGGCCCGAGCGCAGGTGCTTCGCCGGCCGCTGGCCAGCCCCGCTTTGCCCGCCCAGAGCCGGGGCCCGCGGTGGGCTCCTCGCTGCCGGCTCAGTTCGCATTCTTTCCGAGCTGCAGGCTTTGAAAAACAGTGAAAGGCGAACGCCCCCCTGCCCAGTGCAGAGACGAGAGAAAGAACAAGAGTTTGCTGTTTGGTTTTCTTTCCCCGTGGCCTTTTTGCCAGAACCCCCTGGAGCGGGAAAACCCGGGCATTAGGAAGCAAAACGGGTATTTTCTTCCCTAGGACGTATTTCTGCCAATGTTCACAGCAACGATTTTTTTTTTTTAGTGGAACAGCTCAAGAAGCGTGCCAGTTTAGAGGTATTTCCAGAATGAGTGCTGTGAAACTTTCAGGTAGGAAAACATTTCATAGAAAGGAATCAGGGTAAAACGAAAGGGAGACTTAATTCCTGGCTTACCTCCAAGACCAGCGCTGTGTTTATTAGATGTCCCTCGGAGTAAGCAAAAAGTTCATTCCACAGCCTCCACTGTTTCCAGCTACAGTTGGTCTGGTAGTGAGAGAGAGTATTCAGCTCTTGCTTTGGTGAGGGGAGAAAGGATGTAGGAATTGCCTAATTGTCCTTAAATTAAGAACAAATTAGCAGAGGCCCCGGTGGATGTATTTCCTTCCTGCTGATTTACAGAAGGAAGTGACGGAGAGATTTGCAGAATGTGAGGAGTATTGCCTATTCCCTCTGCAGCAAGAGGACACTTCCTCCCTCCCCCTCTCCTGCCTGTCTGTGTTTTGTACCCAAGATGCAGGCCACTAAAATGTTCTTTCTTGGTTAATGGAAAAAAAATAATGGATCTGAGTGGGGGTGGAGGGTCCCCCATAGACAAGCTTAGGTATTCACTGGACCACCCTAACTAATTGGTGGTGTAATTAAGAATGCAACTCAAGATCTCCTCTACCCAGTTTTCCATCACTGTTCCTTTTGACAAAGTTTTTCCAGGTAACACCATTATTTATTCAGTGCGTATACCAACCAGTGGAAACAGCAATATACTAACACTGCTGTGATCCTTTTCAGTTTGGGGGGAAGGGGGGAATCAATCTACTTGTGTACTGTTGAGCCCGAATAATCAATATTAGCAGGGCTAGAATGGAAGTGAGTCCTTTAGCAAGTCTAAGATCACAGCATAAAATAGACCCAAGGAAAACTTCTGGCCCTACCTGGTGTGGCTCAGTGGATAGAGCGTTGGCCTGGAGACTGGAGGGTCCCCGATTCGATTCTGGTCTAGGGTACATGCCCGGGTTGTATGCTTGATCCCTAGTGGGAGGCGTGCAGGAGGCAGCTGATCAATGATTCTCTCTCATCAGTGATGTTTCTATCTCTCCCTCTTCCTTCTTCTCTGAAATCAATAAAAATATATTTTAAAAAACAAACAAAAAAAAGCAAGAGTCCTAAAAATAAGCAGAAATGCTCAGTAAAATTACAAATTTAAAAAAAAAAAAGAAAGGAAAAAGAAACTTTTGTGCAGGTTAAATTTATGTAAGATCTGACAAGCCTTAGGCAAGTGTGATAGATGAGACCCCCCCCCACCACCACCTGTTGATTACAGTGCTCTGGGAGCTGCTGTTACCTGAATGGTATTGGTCACAATCATGTGAGCTCATGTAGGGAGGAGTGAGACTTAGGAAGGCAATGGCCAGTCACCCCATGTCTGTTAGACTGGGAAGCCTTTGCTGCTGTCAGCTGTGTTAGGCCACTGGGTAGGTTGACTGGTGATGAGAGAATCCCCTAGGACACAGGAATATGACAGTTTGTAGCCAGCACTCTGGGGTAAGGATCTAATAAGGAAAAACACTGTGAAAAATAATATAAACAAAACCACTTCAAAATAGAGTCAGTCGGAGCTGTCATCCCAGAGGAACCGCCTTGCTGTCTTATCCCTCAAATCTGTGAAAGTTAAAACTGGGTAAAATAACCTTGGACTTGGCCTAAAGCAGCACTGCATTCCAAACAACTGTTGTTGCTTTTTCTTTATGACTTAGTTAAAATATTTTATTTTTATGTTTTCCTTTTTAAACTTTATTGAAATACAATTCACCTACATTAAATTGTATCCAATTAATTTTAGTATATTCACAAAATTGTGCAAACATCACAGTAGAATTTTAGAATATTTTCATTATCCCCCAAAGAAACCCCATACCCAATTAGCAGTCACTCTTCATTTTTCCCACCTGCCTCTAGACACCCCCTAATCTACTTTCTGTCTCCATAGCTTTGACTATTCTAGACACTTCATAGAAATGGAATCATACAATATGCGGTCTTTTGTGACTGGCTTCTCTGAAGTAACAGGTTTTCAAAGTTCATCTGTGTTATAGCAAATGACTATAGGGCTGAAGGCTAAAGACATTCTTTAGAACAGGGGTCCTCAAACTACGGCCCGCGGGCCACATGCAAATACAAATATTGTATTTGTTCCCATTTTGTTTTTTCACTTCAAAATAAGATATGTGCAGTGTGCATAGGAATTTGTTCATAGTTTCTTTTACACTATAGTCCGGCCCTCCAACGGTCTGAGGGACAGTGAACTGGCCCCCTGTTTAAAAAGTTTGAGGACCCCTGCTTTAGAATTTATCTGCCCCTGGAATAATTCCTTCCTTGTATTCATGAAATTGCAGCTCAGGGGTGGCGAAGCTTGGGGATTTTAAGGTGGCATTCAGGCTGCACTGTGGAGAATGAATGAGAGGAGGCAATTCCCATAGAGAAGGGGAGGAAAGGTCACACAGATGGAGCCTAGCAAGCAAAGGACAAAGCCCTGAAGGCACTTCTCCCAAGAGCAGCCTCCCTCGAAAGGAGTGTTAGTTGGATTTGAGTTCTCAGCCATGCTGTAGCTTTCTCCCCCACCAGTGACCCAGCGTCACGCCCCACACACCTCCTCGGAGAAGGCACCCAGTAAAACAAGTTGTGTTAAATGGCAGTTAGTGACTTTCACCGTATTTCTGTCCAGGGCAGTGGGGAGTGATCCAGAATTGAAGTTTCTACCCTAGAGGCATGGGAGTGGACCCTGCAGATGTGCTAGATGTGTAGCTTTAAGAATGTCCACACCCTACCCGGTTTGGCTCAGTGGATAGAGCATCGGCCTGGAGACTGAAGGGTCCTGGGTTCAATTCCGGTCAAGGGCACATGCTCAGGTTGTGGGCTCCATCCCCAGTAGGGGGTGTGCAGGAGGCAGCAGATCAATGATTCTCATCATTAATGTTTCTATCTCTCTCCCTCTCCCTTTCTCTCTGAAATCAATAAAAATATATTTTTAAAAAAGAATGTACACAATAGGAGCAACAAGGGCAGAACTGTGTGATTATGCAATCTAGAACTCTACCTACCTGTGCGCCACTCCCCCCCGCCCCCCCCAAGCTGTGCCCCAGGTTCATGGCAGCAGCAGATAGCTGAGTGAGTTTGCTGGGAAATCGGTTTCTCTACACCTCCCTATGCCAGGAGACTCCCAGACTTTACCCACTGCTGGGGTTTTGTGCAGACTTTAGGAGGTGAGAGGTAGCAGAATGGAAAGTGATGGCCCAGGTTGGAGTCCTGTTTGCCAGGCGCCTGACCTTGGAGCTGTCTCTTCTCTGCTCCGGCCTCCTTCCCCATCTCTAAATTGGGGCTGAAGCTACTTCTTGGCTCACTGTGAATTCTCAAATGAGACGGTGTATGTGGAAGCACCTGGCAAATCCTAAAGGCAGTGTAGATGCCTCGAATTATTCACATACTGTGTAAGAGCCAGATGGTAGTTTTAATATGGGAGCAAAACCTTGTGATGGGGGCAGCCTCTTACTAAATCCTACCAACCCTGGTTTTCACGTTCTCAGATAAGAATACAAAAGCGCAGAGATATGAATCTTGCTGGATTCAAATCGCCTGACTCCAGGGCTGCTATCCCCCCCATCCCCCCCACTCCCGCCCCGGGTCACGCTGCCCCAGGGCCCCGGCCTGTGGGTTCATCCAGACACCAGCCAGTCTGCGGACTAGCGGCCAGGTGTGACTTCTGGATGCATAGTGATCAGCTTGTCCTGGTTTGCTTGGGACTATCCTAGTTTTAGCACTAAAAGCCCCATATCCTAGGCCCGTGGTCGGCAAACTGTGGCTTGCGAGCCACATGAGGCTCTTTGGCTCCTTGAGTGTGGCTCTTCCACAAAATACCACGTGCGGGCGCGCATACAGTGCGATTGAAACTTCGTGGCCCCTGCGCAGAAGTCGGTTTTCGGCCTGGGCGAGTCTATTTTGAAGTACTGTTGATATTTGGCTCTGTTGACTAATGAGTTTGCCGACCACTGTCCTAGGCCAATTGGAACAGCTGGCTGCCCACCTGGTGCCTCCCTAGCTCGGTCATTGCCTTCCCTAAACCAAGAGCTTCATGGACAGGGAGCTGGGGACACTGGGACGGGAGGGGAGAAGGAGATGGCATTTCCAGGCGAGGATATACACAGAGCAGCTGCTGCATAAACTGGGCCAGGCGATAAAGAGGCCATAACTGTTGGAACCTGCTTTGGAATGTTTTCCCTCCTTTTTATTGTACTCTTTACAGGAGGTGAGGTCAGGGCGTATCTCCCTCTGAGCGAAAGCATTTCATCCCTGGGCTGATTACTCCTAGGACTTCAGATTCAGGAAAGGAGCCCAGAGGCTGCTGAGTGGCATCCTTTTCCTTGGCATCTGTATTTCACTTGCTTTCCCCCTCAGATCACCGGTGCAGGCCGTCTCAAGAAGGCTGGGCTAGACTGCCCTGTGGGTAGGGGAGACCAGGAGATGCCAGGAAAAGGGGTCTGAGGCTGTCACCCCCCTCCTTCGCCCCCCCCCCCCCCATGCATTAATCCTGTGGCTAAATTGTGAGGCAGCTTTTAATCTGTTCCTGGAAGAGGGCTCACCA